GCCTGTGATCTTATTGTGTCCTGACGGCGATTCGTAACTAGTGGAGGTGGCGACGAGGGTTCCTCGTACACGTCCAGTCATACGTATTACGATTAGTTGATCGCATCGCAATGAGCAACCATCTTGATCCTGTCTCGGATCGTGCATTTAGATGGTAGTTCGGAGTTCACGGCGACCCCATTCTCACATAGTGTCATCCGCCTGTTCGACTATCTTGGCGTTTTCGTCCTTGCTGTTGGGCGGGCTCCCCTCGCTCTGCCGTCAGGGACCCGGGGCGGCGCGTTTAGGCTGTAGGTCGTGAAAACCAGTTAACAACTCGTGTGCGAGGCCATCGGCGAATTCGCCTAGCGTACCGGCGGTCTCGAAAATGACGGGCGAAACTTCTTCGCGATGCGATTACAGCGTGCGCTCGCTCGATGCATTTCCCGACAGTCGCGTGGGTAGGACTTCATCCTTTCCCGTTTCCTTGAATGTTATTCTCCTCGAAGTACGCTCGTGATCATCATGATTAAACGATCACAGTGATGACTGGTATCTTGTGCGCGAGAAGAGGGGTCGTAGTCGAGCTCCGCCCTTCGGGTGCAGTGCAATATGTCGTGGATCGGCGGCCGTGGCTCATGCCAACAAAATGGGTTGCATATCTCGGTTGCAACTCCCCTTAATTTTTGTTAAATATTTTTGAAGGCGTTCGGGTGGTGCGCACGCACCTTCCCCGTGCGTTTGCTGGCGGGGAGCGCGCATTCGTAAGTCAACCGCAATGACTCGTGGCTCCGAGGGGGCCTGCGGGTTCCCCTCTCTTCGTGTCTCGCGATGTGTCATGCGTGGATGCCTAGTAGGGCACAGGAGCGGTCCGAGTTTCTCGATTCTTCCATAGTCCTCCTCTAGTCCCCAGAAAGGACGGCGTCTGTCTTCACCAATCTGAATGTCCCTGCTTGGTGCCTCGGTCGGCCCGGGGTTTGTCACAGCCTCGACCACCGGCGGTATACGTCGTTATGGCGCGCGTGGAGCTTCCCCTGCAGGGTCCCTCTAGAGCTATTCTGCAACTTCTGGTTTCTCCTCGACGTGGAGTTCTGCCTTAAAATAAACTTCCTTTCGATGCTCCTAATCCGGTGTGTCTGCGTGACTTGTCTTCCCCAAAAAAAAGATGGCAACAGCACGAAGAAAAGAAGATGACAGTAGAAAAGCAGAGGAGTAGGAGGGACGGAAAAGTAAAAAGGTAGCAAGTTGTTCAAAGAAGTGGGAAAAAGGTAAGGAGGGGAGATGCGTGATGACGTTGTCGGAGCAGGGGGTGGCAGCAAAAAGGGGTACGGCTTCATGCCGTTGGTGGTTCGATTCTCTATGGAGTTGGTTTGTGTCGAAAACAAATCGAACATTCCGTAAGGAAAGCCCAAATCCCGGGGGCATTCCACAACGTCGGGGAGCGCGCATCCCTAAGTCAACCGCAATGACTCGTGGCTCCGAGGGGGCCTGCGGGTTTCCCTCTCTTCGTGTCTCGATGACAGACTAAGTCCTCATATGGGTACTCCTGCAGTCGCGGTTCGGTTCCCCGTTGCGGAACATTTCCAAAAAATTGCGATTTCCATTCGAATGGATACAAACGTGGGGGGCTTGTGCGGAGGTCAAAATTAGTGCGGTGATAGATACAGTGCTTTGCAAGACCTGGAACAGTATGGGAGTAGTCAGTGCCATTCCCTTAGTTCTGCGATGTTCAATGTTAGTTGTTATGCATCGCCCATGTTAACGATCATGCGGAAAGTCGCCTCTCACTATGTCGTTCTCCATGTCATCCCACGACTCCCTTCTTCGCCTGATGCAGTATTTTTCACGTAACTTCTCTCGGCTCTATGTTACACTCTCTTTGCTTGTGTCTCGAGATGTGTCATGCGTGGATGCTTAGTAGGGCACAGGAGCGGTCCGACTTCCTCGATTCTTCCATGGTCCTCCTTTTGTCCCAAGAAAGGACGGCGTCTGTCTTCACCAGTCTGAATGTCCCTGCATGGTGTCTCAGTCGACCAGGGGTTTATCACAGCCTCGACCACCGGCGGTGTACGTCGTTATGGCGCGCGTGGAGCTTCCCCTGCAGGGTCCCTCTAAGGCTACTCTGCAGCTTCTTGTTTCCCCTCAACGCGGGGTTCTTCCTTAAAACAAACTTCCTTTAGATGCTCCTAATCCGGTGTGTCTGCGTGACTTGTCTTCCCAAAAAAATGACAAAAGCACGAAGAAAACAAGATGACATTAGAAAAGCAGAGGAGTAGGAGGGACGGAAAAGTAAAAAAGTAGCAAGTTGTTCAAAGAAATGGGAAAAAGGTAAGGAGGGGAGATGCGTGATGACGTTGTCTGGACAGGGGGTGGCAGTAAAAGGGGTACGGCCTCATGCCGTTGGCTGTTCGATCCTCTAGGGATTTGGCTTGTGTCGAAAACAAATCGAACATTCCGTAAGGAAAGCCCAAACCCCTGGGGCATTCCACAACGTGGACACAGCGGTCCCTGCATTCTCTCCGTTGCGTACGAAAACATGACCCTTCTCCTCCTTTCCGTAGGCATGTTTGCTCCGCGCCTTCAGATAATCCTCGATCGTAGACATGAACTGTAGTTCAACTATATAGGTTCAATCTTTGTCAGGATGTGGCACAAAGCTGTAACTCCTTTTGTTCCCAGTTAAACTGTCCCTTTTCCCGCACCCTCTCGTGGTTGTTGTTTTGTCCAATACATTTCAATGTCCGGAATGGGAAAGCGGTTTCATGACAGACCTCTTTTGTGAGCGTTCTGCCCTTGCGGCTCACACGATCGGTAAAAACCAAGAAGCCGTCGGCTCTAGCATCATCGTGCTGACAAATTCCGGTCTAGGGTATAACTCCGATCCGTGCTTCGTCCTTTGTCGGTCAGAATCTTCTCCGATTACTCGCCCGGCACTGTCTTTGAGGCAGGCATACGAAATCTCGCAAATTGACGTCCTTGTACAGCTTAGAAAAAGACCGCTCTCCCTTTCGGCTGGAAGACACAGCGTAATAAATTAATTACGATCGGCGGTTCGCCCGTCTCCCTCGATCGTGGACGCTCACTGAAAGGTCGTTGACCGGTGTGCGTCGCGACGCTCGTTCATCGTGGTCCGCGATGCGGGGTATCGCTTTCTACGTCGTATCAACAAAAAGGAGCAAGAACACAAAGAGAAACGAAACAAAACAGTACAAAAACAAGAAGGAAGAAAGGGGGTTAGTGTGGCCAATGGGTTAGTAAGTCCCTCGGGACGAAAGAATTGATGCGAGCGACTGTGTCGGTAGCCGCATGCCATGTTCAAGCAATAATTCTCCCTCATCGAGGGTGTCGACAGTAGGGTAGGTTGCAGCACCACACGAGTGAGTAGCATGGTCGTGCCATTGGCAAGTGATGTCACATGCGATTGCTGGGGACTTTGTCGGTCGACGGCTTTGAGTATTTGTGCCGTCGACTGTGGGGATTGCCAACGACTTTGCGTACGCGAAACGAGTACGGGGTTAATTGTAGCTGCGTCCTCGTGATGGTGGTCCCTATGGACGGATGTTCTTGCTCGTCGAGGGTGGAAAACGTGTGTCAATAGTGTGTGTGTCGATCAGTCGTCATGCGAGGTCGGGTGTCACTCGACCACGGGACGACTTAGAATATTTAGGCCGTCGGTTTTGGCAAGCGACAACAACTTTGCGTGCGGACTGCAGTTGCAGCAGTGTTTCCCTGCTTCTCGATTATAATTTCGCAGCATGCTGAAATCGATTTCTCACTTGTGTCGCCTTTTTGGCAGTTTGTTGTCGACACGCCTAATTTTTTTGATTACCTCATACGCCACGAGAACGGACCGCCTGTTCGAAACGTCATTTCTCGTGCGTGCCGTGATGATGCGTGTGTGTTTTCCGAGAGGCTCAATGCCTCATCCAAGGATACAGTCTCGCTTCTCTGCCTTGCTCTCCTTTCCTTCAAACTCCTTATTTGCGCACCTCGTAGATGCGTTACTTCCTCAAAGTTCTGACCTCTCTGTTGCCTCTAACCTACTAATTCTATTTAAGATGGCTATCCCGGTTGTGCGTGCGACGCTTGCGTGGGTAAAGGTGGCTTTTTCCTTCGGAAATATGTGACTACCGCGCTGCGGAGGATTTGCTCAATAGGTTCCCACGTTGCGTCCTGGATGGTATACCCATACCACCTCACTTTGAGAATTAATTTCTCCTCGTCGTAGCCGTGGTCCACGATCTTGTCGATCACATACTCCTGACTCTCGGCTTCTTCTTCCTGCGTGTCCAACTGTCCTTCCCCCTTCCGAGGATCTTCCAACTCACCACCTTCTCTGGACTTTCCTGAACTCGCGTAGGTCTGGAGGTGTCTCCGCTGTCGGCGTTCGACCAACTAAATTATCCTGGTCCGTCGTAGGCGCACGGGTGTGAGGACGTTCCTCGTCCTCCATTACCTCTCCTTCTTCGTTTAGCTCCGGCTCTCCCAGGAACTGTAGCGCTTGCCGTAGGCCAGTTATCGGCGCATAGTCCATCGGGCTTGGGGCTAACTCCACCCTGTCTCGCGATACGCGTTCCTCCTGATCGCCAATGGCAATGACTACCGTATGTTGATCCGATCTTCGGACCTGATAAAGTCCTGTGCCGACTTGTGCCAGCTTGTGTTTCGGTTCGCTAGCCGTGCCCTGCTCCTTCCGGAGGAACACGTAGGACCCCGGCGGGATCTCATATTGCGGTTTGCGAAGCCCAGTAAAGTATGCAGATGTATATGGGATGTTTATTTGATGTCTATTAGATATTTTTGGATATATTTTGGATGGGTCCTGGATGTGTAGGAGATGCTGATCGTGTGACGGCCTGATACGTGCTTTAGAGACTGGATGTCCAAAGGATGCCTGAAAGATGATTAAATGCTGATTGGATGGTTTAAAGATTACTTTTAGATATTTATAGCATGCGGGCCACCACAAACTGCGTAGCTTTAAAGCATCTAAGAGGGGTCAGAGCATATTTGAGGCATCCATGAACCGCAGCAAGCCCTACCGCTCCAAGCCTCAATTGCTAGTCGCGGCCTCTGCGATCACCCGCGCCTGTGGCTCGGCGGATCCCTCACGAATTACAGTTCTGCACCAGCTCGGCGACGCCCTGCATGCATTCGAGGAGTCGCAGTTCGTAGTCAACGAGATCAAGCCCAGCACTTTTACCTACACCGCGCGCGACCGAACCTCTGCGACCACCGGCGGCCAGCTCGATGCCGACACCCGCGTCCGTTTCTAGCACGAACAAGGTGCGCGTGCCATCTTTTCAGCTGTTGCCAGTGCCCTCATCAAGCTGCCGACCAGGATTGGTCCTCTTCGTCGTCGCGCCGTCGACTTGCTCACGGCCACGGGGAGCGCCACAGGCCCGGTCGTTGTCATGTAGGCTGCCAGCAATCTCCGCTCGCCTATACCAGCGCTGAAGAGGCTCACTTGGTCTGATTCGGACCACGGCAATTTTGAAGCGGTGTGCGCCATTATTACCTTGGCCGACGTTTCCAACAGCACTATCGCTGGAAGAGCGTGGCGAAAGACTAAGTCCTTTTTTTGCTGGGTACTCGCGTCCGACAAAAATGCAAGCGCACTGATCTTGCCTACGCTATTGTCCAAATTGTCCAGTCCTTTCCGATGCATGCCCCACCAGACGATAGTTTGGTGGACGACCTGCTTTCTTTTGATCTTCAAACGCCTACGTCGAGACAAGGGTGTGCTGGTGTGGGATGCGCCCTTTTAGCCTCCGTGACAGCTCCGCATCTAGTTTCGAGGGGCGCAAAACCAACCGATGACGTGGTAAGTGCACGTGGACGCAGTTTGAGAACCGCCCCAAAATCGACAGAGCGTGCAATGTGGGCTGTGTTCATGGCTCCCGCTCAAGTCACAGCTCGGCGGCCACCGTAGTGCCGACTTCTCAAATACAGAAACTTGTGAGGCGGGACATAGTTTCCAAAGAACCAGAAGGCATGATCAATAAGCTCACAACACTGACATGATAATGGATGAGGAAAACGTAAGCGTGGGGGTATCTGACGAGATATTAGAAGATGCATTGGTCCAAATAGCGAAAACCGCAGGGCTGGAGCAGGGTCATGTGGACGCTTCAATGGCTGTTGCGAGCTTGCTGCGAATGTGGAGAATGGCATTACCGACTGGTGTATCAAGGATTGTACCGCGAACTTCTGCCAGGTTGTTACCAGAAGTGTCATCAGTGTCCGGTGTTTCGGCCTTGGTAGACGCAATTTGGCTAGGTTTACTAAAGAAATTGGATCCATCATTGTCATCCTCAATCTTAGAAAAGCTTCTTCCTGGTTTCTCCGAAGAACCCGACTTGCGCCTCTCCGCTGCCCTGCATGTGTACAGCACATTGCTGCTCAAGTACGGCCGTCAGAGCATGAAAGAAAATGGACTATCGCAGCAATACAGTTCTGTGTCGTCGACTCTTTTGAAACGGGCTCACGAAGTGTTGGATGTCTTTTCGCACTTCGTTCATATGGACGGCGTGAGAACTATGTCAGCCATAGTGACAGCGCTACCGAGATATTGATCCCCGCTTTTAACGGCTGTTTTGCAGGAACTGCTAATAGCAGATTTAGCGATGACTACAAAACACTCTGAGGAAGCTGTTTCACGAACGTTTACGTGTTTGAAGTCTGTCGAAAAGAAGCTGTTTTCGATTTTGGGATACTCTGCCGCCCTTTCCGTTCTTATTGGGAAAGTATCATCTGGTGAGTGCAATGTCCTGGATGCATTATGGTGTCAATGGAAAATAGATAGCCTGGTGTTGCTACGGCCTCATCTTGCAACTCAGAAGCCTGCTTCTTGTGACACAATTTCGGATTGCATTCGACAGCGAGCTGGATGGGGCTCAGTTGCGGCCCAGGCTAGCTCAAAACAGAAGAGGCTGTTTCACGGAAGCTCTCTTGAGGAGATGGTATCTCTTTGGAAGGAAGAACTAGGGTTCGCCGGGGAGAGGGCAGGGAGGGAGCTTGGAGCCGTTGGAGAGCAGTGAGAGGAGAGGCGGTTGGGATGGCGTGATGGAGGGGGTTGTTGGGGTGAAGGAGGGAGGAGCGGTGTGTTTGGGGAGATGAGATTAGAAACGGAAGTTTCTAAAGGCCTGGAAAAGAAGGCGTTTGATTGTGGGAGGGGCGGGCCAGAGCATAGACGGAGGGGGGGATAAGGTGCGTGGTGAAAGGGCGGTACGGTGGCGAAGCGGCCTTACGTGGGGGAAGCGGAGCGACTCTGATAGCTACGGAACTGTCTGGAGATAGCGGCTGGGCCATTCGAGCTACATCCTGCTCGTGGCCAGGGTCGGGGGAAGCTAAAATAAGTTGCCAGACACTTCCATCCTGGTATCGATCGTGTCGACAACATCCGCATCTTCCTGCACGAGGTCCTGCATTTATGGCTCAGGATCCTCCAACCAAAAGGCGCCTGTCTCAAATGCAACCACAGCCACTCCATTGCATAATATTTACCCAATCAGGATGGTTAGATCCAGCATGAACTTCCAATACTGTAGCCTGGGTTGCCAAACTCAGGGCCGTTCATGCCCGTCTCCTTCCACCCTAGTAGAAAAATCAAAACATTTTGGAGCGTAATTTGGGGGCAATTTGCTTATTGGTGCCATGTACTGTAGAGCACGTGACGCGCACTCACCTTGCCCAATGAAAGCGCAATATGAGTGCATGCCAGCCACCCTGGAATTACCCTCCGATCCGACATCCTAAACAGCATTGGAAACCCCGTTTTGGAACCAGAGTTTCGGGCCTGTACTTGTTCTCTTTTGCGTCCAATATGTATGTAAATGCAGTGCAATGCGAGCTCGGAGTGCTTCTTAACCGCTCCCATTTACATCGTTCTACTATCTGCATCACCGCCTACTATCTACATCACTGCACGCTACCAACCTCCAGACACCCTCCGCCCGAACCCGCCACCGACCTACACCGCTCGTCCCCAACATAATATTTGATGATAATGCATCATCGATGCCATCGCCTTCGCGGGCTCCCTCTGTTCGACAGTAGCATTCCCATGACGACATTCTTGTCTTCAGAAAACATAATGGCTCGTCGCAACGTCAAACTCAACGCACCCCTTCCCCCCGCTTCGGACCATGTCTTCCGGCGTGAGCAACACGCTGCGCCCATACCAATCGCAGTACAAATCCAGATCCCCCTCGCTGCCTCGTGCCTTCTAGTTGTAGCACGCCAGTCGCCCGTACTTGTCGTCGGATCCACGCTTGGCTCGACGACATCTGGACCTTCCGACGCGTCTTGCATCGCTTCTCCGGTATCGCCCTCCGTTCTGACATCCTCGTTGGATGTCATCGGAATATCTGGAGTCGCGGTAGCATCGCAGACGTTGTCTGTGAAGGAATGATAGGGGCTACCGCCTTAAGTGCAGTCTTCAGTTCTTCTAATTTGCACATCCGGTTGGTCCTCTGATTCTTTCGTCATCTGCACATCAGCATCATCAGCATCATCAGCATTGGAAGGATCTCTCTTCTGCCCATCTTCTTCCATATTTTGACTTTACATCACACGGGAGACGGAACCGTGTATCAACGAATCCTTTCAATATTTTCGGAGTAAAGTTTTCGTTCTACAACAAGTACTACTACCGAAAATCGCACTTTCACACTTTCCGGACGAGGAGCACACCTTCGCGAACAGTCAACATCAGTTGTTCTACACGCTTATCATTTCTCACGAACTGCGCAAACTCATGCAAACTTTGACGGACAGGATCGTTTTCTTCGTAAACAAGGGAGCATAACGCGTTACCAGCCATGATGAGGCCGTCCTCGTTGAGCAAGTTCAAAGCTGCTTCGTAGTAATGCCTGTAGTTGGTCTTATCTGCATCCAAAAATACGATATGACATTGCTCTCCAGTATGGACCATGTCGGTTACTGCCTTCCTCGCCTCTGTCTCAAGCAGCTTCACTTTGTAGCCATTCTGGGCACTCTTAAAGCATTTTCGAGCAACAGCAGCTGCAGCGTTGTCTGCTTCAATCGTGACGACTTCTCCAATTGAAGGAATTCTATCTGCAAAGCCAGTGCGGGGTATCCGGTGAATGTTCCAATGTCAAGAATCCTCTTGTCACTCTTAATTTGTGCGACCATCTTCAAAAATTGGCCTTCGATGGGACCTACCATGCACGGAGCGAAAAGTTTCGCCGCCTTTGTTTCGTTGGCAATGTTGACGAAGTCGGCTGTCGGAGGGGATGTCATGGCATTTGCATATTCTTCGGCGCCCGGGAAAAACAATGTGGAGTGTTCGAAAGCAGGGGGCTTAAGTGTATCACTCTTCGTTGCAGTTGAAAGCACGCTGTTTAAAGAAGATGATGTCTCACCTTCATTGCGGCTAACTTGCTTCTCTGAGATCCACTGATTGTATGCTTCAATGTTGCTTTGTCCCTTTTCTCCGTTGCTCTCCGAGGGATCAGCGACTGGATTTTCAGACATTGCAGCATCAGTCGCTAAGCTCCCTTTAGGAACAGCATGGGCAGCATGTTGTTTAACAGTCGATAGATCCTCCAGACCGACATCTCGGCAGTGCGGCTCAATACCGGAACCTTTCCTAGGGTATTTTTTCGCAATGTTCTGGTACTCAATCAAGGTTCCTTCCATCCTTTCTCGCGTCAATGCGTTCAGGTATCCGCACTTTCCAATCGCACCGCGTGGTATCGGGGCACAAAGGTTGCCGCCTCGCTTTTCCGTCATCTTCACCTGCGAAGACCAGAGGGAGTCTGGATTCTCAAGGATGTCATGCCGCAGTGAGAGTCCAACTGTACTCATCACCTTAAGAATCCGGTGAAACTCTCTCTCCGTAATCCAGCCTTCTAGGAATGAAAGGTACGCGCCATAACCCATACCAATCGAAACTGCATGACCATGAAGGAGACCTGCTTGAAGTTCGAAACCGGGCGACCGGGTGTGCCCGTACGCGTGTGGACGGCACTGATGGGTCTCCCACAAGTTTCCGTACTCTGAGCGGACATAGCCGTCCATAGCTTTTGCGATGATTGATTCGCTGAGAACATCGATATCAGAACCACGGTCACATTGCTCCACTCCAAACTTGGTCTCCACCAGACGATTTCCGGCAGTCTCCAGCGCTGTGAAAAGAGTAGCGTCTTTAGTGACTGCCATCTTTATGATTTCGGCGATGCCATGACGAATCTATCCGGGCTCTAGCGTCTTGAAGAATTGTCGATCAGTTAGAGTAAGGATATGGGGATGATACGCACCGAAAACATTCTTGTATCCCAACCCATCACAGCATGTCCGAGGAGAAGGCCCAGCATCAATACCTGACACAATAGATGTGCACAACATTACGTAGGGAGTATTCCTGTGATAAAGAGCACAGGCGAACCCGCCAATATCAGCCATGACACCACCGCCAACCACAAGGACCGGTTCATTCCGAGACACTCGCTTGCCCTTGAGATCAACCAGAATCATTTCAAGGCCTTTTCGACGCCCGAATCCATCGCAATTCCCGGTACTGCTTTTGCTTCGATAATTGCGCGTATCTCTGGCTTCGATTTTCCTTCTGCGATGTCGTCCTCACGTGGTTCTTTCGCGGCGCCGTCATCAGCCGCAATTCTTAACAGACGCTTTTCTTTTGCGCCGGTATCCACGGCGGTCTTTGCGAGTCCATCAACGGAATCAGATTGAATAGCGGTTTCCACTTCAAATGCAGCTTGTACCGCCGCTTGATTACTGAAGAGATTGCTCTGTGTATCATTATCTGCCTCAGCCTCAGCCTCAGCCTCAGCCTCATCCGCCTTTTCTGCCGTCTGTCCAACGTCTCCCTTGGAATCAACTCTAGCTCCCTTGTCCCCGGGGTGGGCGGTGGCTTCTGCAGCGTCTTCGCCCTCGCCGCTAGCCTTGTCTGCCTCATGCTCGTCAATATCAACCTCCCCCTCAGCCACATCCGCGGCGTCCGCATACGAGCTAGCGGCGTCATCCTCGCCATGGCCCCCATCTGACGGGGTGTGCAAGCCGTCCTCATGCTCTTCGGCATCCTCGTGCTCACTGCCCTCCTCGTGCACCTCCTCTTCCACCTCGAAGTGCTCCTCCACATCCCCCATGTCGCGTCTCTTCGTCTGTGGGGTTCCTTCGACACTTTCCGTCAAATCAATTGCATGTCCCCTCTTCCCATCCTCATGTTCACTCGCGCTGTTCGCGTCGTCCTCATCGACGTCTTCATCGACAACGTCGGCCACGTCATCGTCGTCGGCCTCGTCGAAGCTATCCTCCGTCCCGTCGACATCGATGGGGTCCTCCTTGCCCAGGATCGCGTCGGGGTCGCGATCGACGTCCGGAACGCGATGTGGCCCCGAGAGCGGCTGGGATGCGTGCGTGTGATCCGGGTCGGAGACGACGTCGACGTCGAGGGGGGCGCCACGGTCGAGCGAGACGTCCGCAGACACGCCCTTTACGTTGGAGACGACTTCGGGCGGGTGGAAGGATGCCGCTGTGATGGGAGTGATCGCGGGGTCCTCAGACGTATCCGCGTGGACATGCGGTGGTTCTTATGCCACGAGGCTTTCGGTCGCAGTCGATTGTTCAACGTTGCCCTGCTCTGCGGCATCGGGCGGCGAGGCTTCTTGGTCGGGGACGGCTGCCTGTTCTGGCATGGCGTGAGGGGGTGGGAGACGGGAGCCGTGACTGTTGCGGTTTGAGAGGATGGGGGTTCCCAAAGGGAGTCTCTTGATCCATCCAAAAAAACATCAAAAACGGGGGAAATTTGAGAAGCGCAAAAGGACGTTTGAAGACAGGACAGCTCGGATACGTCTACGCATGTCCGACCCGATCACGTCTCCCAACTAAGGAGCGTGCCTGCGTGAGCTGTTCCTTTGCCAACACATTCTAGCCAAATGTCATGAACAATGCAAGATGTGCGGGCACTAATAAATTACCCCAGTGCCCGGAAGCTTTCTGTTTCATTCATTGCAGAAGGGCTTTTACGAATGCGCGTGGCTACCCACTTAAGCAGCAAGACTCTCCACTATCTACTCGACAAACTTCCTCCCTCAGCACTCCCGCAACCTCCTTAACAACGTCTTCCTCCCCCGTCCTCCCACACAGCACACACTCGAGCAGTCTCCGCGCCACGCTCGCGAACAATCTCTTCTTCCGTGCGCCCTCATGCAACGGGATCAAGCTCGTGAACAAGCTACACACAACCAGCACGACGTCTCCCCAATCCACGCCGTACGAATCTTCCACATACCTCCTGACGACGCCCTGCGCCCTCCTCCACCTGGCCTCGACAAAAGCGTCGGCGGGGACGGCGGCAAGGATGTGGTCGTATCCGGAGAGGCTCTGCACGACCTTTGTGACGTCGTACACGGCGTCTCCGGCGAGCGTGAGGGCATCTCCCTGTGCGCCCCGCATGTCGATGAGGGCGATGCCGCCGTGCACGCGGGCGAGGACGTTGGTGGGGACGGGGTCGCCGTGGATGACGCGGGCAATCAACCGATCAGTTCTTTATTCATGAAGAAGAGGAGTTATTTGCCGCGACCCATAGTCATACAAAATGAATGACTGCGTAATGTACCATGCTACTTCTTGGTATGACGACGAGGGCGTTTGAATGATGTCGTCGCCAGAGGTGCATTTCCTTTGTTATTTCGTTTGCGTTTATTACGCACTCGGACCGACGGCTGGACGTCCTGGAGATTATCGCCTCCATCCTCAAAAACCCCTTGACCAAGATCACCGTTTTCACGACACCCAAGATCAACCCCGGAAGTCGGTTGTGGACACGTCTTGCGTTTTTACCCTTTGTGTTCGCGGTAGGGTGATGTACTTTAAGATGTGAATCTTCGTCGAAATGTCTATCACGGGATGTTCCTCGACCTGCCTTAACACGTTCACCATCATGGACCCGACTTCTTGAAGCATCTTCATGATGAATGTCATCACTATCAGTTCCTTGCTCGAATTCTGTACTCCGTTGAACTCGGTCACCATGAGAATCACCTGGCACTGGTTCAGTCCTTAAGATGTGACGGTGGTCGTCGTCGCACTGCTGTGGACTCATGTTTCCTTGCTCCCTCTCACCGCCACACGAATCTGATGGCATTTTTGATTTCTTCTTCCTGTAGATTTTGTCACGACGCAGAACCTCTTGGATTATTGCATCGGCGGCCCACTGATTATGGGCAAGCTTCAGGTCTGGAATGCGCTTCTCGAGATTGTTTCGGAGCGTCGCCAAAGTCCCGGCGTGCTCATACTTTAGATCCTTGTAAGGAAACTTCCCCTTGGGTAACTCCATGCCGAACTTTCCGCTCCCATACAACACAAGACGAACCCGTTTGAAAGCACCACGGATCGTCGAATCTGACAAAAGCTGGAAATCATCACCGCTTTTCTCCATGTAAGAGAGGTATGCGTTGTTGAACACCTCACGTATGGGTCGCTGCGACCCGATTGTTCCATTTTTCCTCACGCGACGCGCTTCTCTCCTGGATGGTTCCATGAGACATCCGTCTTCCTCTTTGGGTCCATCCATTCTACTAAGAAAAACAGCAGAATCGAAGTTATGAATTTACTTCACATGAATGATGACAGGAATGAAGGCAAGAAATCTGGATAAGCTGCTGCGGAGAAAGCATTTATGAAGTGTTTCGTTTCACTCGAAACGAAAGAAAAGCGCCCTCAATGGCATTTCCCGCTTTGATGAGGGATCAAAATTTGTTTCGTTTGGTTCTCATTATTCAGAATTCTCTACCCCAAATTATAGCCAATGCGTCTTCCCAAGTCCACAGTAGCTGTCATTTCGCCACCCTCCTTCCCCCTAACACGTAAGCCTTGTCTGTATTATGAATGAAAACGATTTTACCGGCCACTCGCCGAGAAGGTATCTCAAACGTAGACGGGAACAAGTGCTTGGCATCATTCGGACGCGCGGCGAATTGTATGTACGTTCCCGAAAAAGGAGATTGAAAGAGTGGAAACATGAGAAAGCTTCAATAGACGAATCTTCCTCACAGTCGAGTTTTGCACCACACTTTTCCGTGAATGAGAGCAGCACAGGAGAGATTGACGAATGGACTGAAGAGGTATGCGTGGAAGAGCATTCGCCAAGTGTCGAAGACTCGTCTGAGTGGATGATCAGTGAAGTGCCCGAAAGACAAATTGACAGGTACGATGAACTGCCGCTGTCTGAGATGGAGACGTCATCCCATGACTCAGAAAGCACCCGAACCGAACGTTTAGCTGATACAAATTGGAATTTATAGGAGTCTGAATCCAAGGGAATTTTGGAACTTCTTCATGTTCTGGAATTGGGCCAAGCTTCCACCCGATGTATACGAAGTGCTTTGCAGACGTCAATTGTAAGGACACGGTTCTCATATGACGTGCTTATGAGACATATCAATAGAAGAGCGGATGTGCCTAAGCACCACGTCCCAATGTGTCCACGCGGACATTTCGCTGCGACTAGGTCTCAGTCTCGTAGAAATACATGTCCAAATGCCGATTGCAGACAGAGGATCGGATCAGCACGATTCTGGACGAGCAACGTCTCTGACTAACTAAAAGCTCTCTGCCGCGAGGAATATTCTTTCCTTCAGTTTCAGAAAGGATGTCAGGAAGCCCATTTAGCAATGAGTTTAGAACCGGTCGACATTTTTTCTGACTACTACGACGGCGCTTTGTTTCGCCGAATGTTTCGTAAGCGCTTAGGCACGTGGGATCTAGACGGTGAACTCTATGTTTTCATGGTCATGTCCACAGATGGTTTCGAACTTTGTGGTACAAGTGAAGGAAAAAGAACCTGTTGGCCTATCATCTTCAAGCTTCTGAATCTGAACTTCTCACATCGCGGCCAGGCTGCAAATGCTCTCGTCACCGGTTTTATTCCTGGTTCACATAATCCTGAGTTTTTCGAGAGCTTTTTAGTCTCAATTGTGGACGACCTCGTGAACCTGGAAAAAGGAATGGATGTGAAGTGTTGGGACGGCAGAACCCGGAAGCTCTTCGCATTCGTCCTTTTTATCACTGCGGACTTCCCCGCCGCAAGCAAGCTTTTCGGTTTTATGGGACACAGAGCAAAACTTTTCTGCCGGAATTGCCACAAAAAAGCCGTCTTTGTATGCGGCTCTCTGTACGCTGTCCCTGTCAGATCGGAGAGGTGCAGTAAAGAAGCTGTTGGAGGGAATGGCATATGGGAAGATCAGTGTTGGATAGAATTAGAATGCCCAGAACGGAGAACCTCTTCTGAAACGGCGTCCGTCTGGCGACAGGAAGACACGGTTCTGCGAGCTACGGGGATCAAGAAAAGACCCCTGATCGCGCGCCTTTCGTTGGATTTCGTTTTTTCCTTACCGTATGATCCTATGCATCTCTGTTTGTTGGGTTGGGTTCGGCACTTGGTGTTCCTGGTTATTGGCTCCCATAAGCGCCATCAAGATTTGCACACGTCCTACATCTTGACCACAAGTGAGATTGCTCTCGTTAATGTTGCACTGTCTCGCAACCACAGAGGAATTCCGCAATTTTGGGGCCGTCCACCAACAAGCTTGGGAAATCTTAACCATTTTCGAGCTGAAGATTTCAAAAACTTTGGACTTTACTTCGCCTCCATTGTGTGGCATTCAGCGGCGTTGGACAGAAGACAGCAGACATTGTGGCATCTAACTTCCAAGATGCTGACAATCGTTCAAGATGCGTCGCCGCGGAGAACGGATTCGATTCAGCTTCGCAAAATTGTACAGAAACTGCATGCACTCTTCACAACTGTGTTCCATGAAAGCAAGCGGCATTCATTTTGTTTCACCCCCACCACTCATGCCATACTACACCTCTAGGAAATTTTGAGAGAATGCGGTCCATTGCGAAATGTCTCGCAGTTCTTCATGGAGCGCTTTGTTGGGGAGATGGGGGGAAGAGCAATGTCACGTAAGCATCCAGAGACGAACTTGTTCCACAAAAGCCATACCCTTCTGTGCCTGAAGTTGCTGTCTGGTGGAATCCATCAGGGTCCAACTCCGAACGGACCAGTCTCCTCTTTCTTCGAGACGCGAGCCAGTCATGCGGGTGTGGAGACAAAAAGTGCTGGTTGTCGCGACC